AAGAAACCGGGCCTTCTCGGTGGTGGCTCCTCGCCTCTGGAACAACTTGCCTCCTGAGATTCGTGCGGCTCGCTTGCTGGGCATCTTTAAGAAACAACTGAAAATGTGGATGTTTCGGCAGGACTTCCCTTCAGCCAATCCCAGCTAATTCCTTCCAGTCAATCCCTGATGTTTTCCTCTTCTCACTTTACTGTGAGTCACTCTGCTTCCCATCTTGTTGTAGCTGTTTATTGTATAATAACTCTCTTTTATATATATATGTATTCATGTATTTTATGATGTAAGCCGCCTAGAGTTGTCGTAATTGACTAGATAGGCGGGATATATATAAATAAGTAAATAAGTAAATAAATAAGTAAATAAATAAATAAATAAATAAATAAATAAATAAATAAATAAATAAATAAATAATGCCTGCTGATTTTTGAAGCAAGCAAAATGCAGTTTAAGACCCCAAAGTCTTTTTTTCTTTAAATCAGAAAACTCTAGTGGTAGAGTACGGATTAGCATGGTTTCCATTAGTTCCTATAGAGCAAAAACGGCTGGTTACGGATTAAATGGTTTTCAGTGCATTCCTATGGGAAATGCATATTCGACCTATGGACTTTTCAACCTGCAGCCACCGTTCCAATACGGATTAATTCTGTACGTCGAGGGTCCACTGTACTTGACTGAGCAAGTTCCCCATGTTCATTCTAAATGCTCTTGGATTTTTTTAAGTAGTGATTTTAAAACTTGATTATTGTGTCATTGTTTCCTAAGACCTTCAACTTTTATAACAATGGCTTTGAAGTTATTTAGTGTTTGTTATGACATTTTGACCTCCCAGTATTTTGTTTCAGCTGAATTGTAACCCTTAGATACCTGCTGAACCTAGAAACAACAAAGGACCCTTACCCTTTGGCCTATATCCAACTAGTTTCAACTCAAATAGCCCCAATGAACAAATGGTATTTATATGACTGTAGACTTCTGACTTAGTGGTTGATTTAGCAGGTTGGCTATCATTTGGACCATCAACTGGATTGAGGCCTTAGTATAGTGGCTAACCTCAGAAATTAAATATGTGGGTTAATGCTGCATTTAATTATTATCTACATTTTTGGCAACTACTTAATGATTATCTACATTTTTTATTTGAAACCACACCTGTATTTTGAGGCAGGTATAAGTAAAATGCACAATAGCATGTGTATATTTTGTCAAGGGGATTGTCCAGCCACTTAGATTTTTACTAGTGCATTTACTCACACTAGTGCACTTACTCACACTTACCGTGTTTCCCCGAAAATAAGCCCTCTCCTGAAAATAAGCCCTAGTATGATTTTTATATGATTTTAATATAAGCCCTACCCTGAAAATAAGCCCTCGTTAAGCGAAACCGGCCCTCCACCAGGGACTTATCAGGATCCTCCAAGCTCTCAAGATAAGGCTTACAACCTCTTCCCTTCCTCTCCCCCTTCCCTCGCTCACGGCCAGGAAAGAAGGAGCTGCGCCCCGCCAGGAACTTGCTCCAGCAACTCTCGGGGCTCGCGCCTCTGTAGTGTGCGCGCCCCCCCCCGCAATACACACACCTGTCTCCAGTCTGTGCCCCGGAGAGGCTAACTAAGCACAAGGTTGGAGGGGGGAGCCCCCCCGCCCTGTCTTTCTTCTCCCCGCCCCCCTTCCTCTCTTTCTACCCTAAGCCTTTTAACCCTCCTCTTCCCTCTTTGGTGTTGGGTGCTGCCGGCAGGGCCACCGGCATGTTGAGAGGCAGCTGCTCTCCGCCCCCTCTCCCCACTGCCCTCTCCTCAACCAGGCTTGCCGGCTTCGGGTCCCCACCCCCAAGGTCGCGGCTCCGCCGTTTTCCACAAAATGAACCCAGCGCCCCGCCAGCCCCAATGGGAGCCTGGAAGAACTCAAGGCACCCCCGTGGCACCTCCCGGCGGCGGCGGCGGCACCCCTGGAGGAAGTGGCCCCAGGTACGTTTAAAGAAGGGGAAGAAGAACGGGAAGGGAGGGCTTGAGAAAGGGTTGAAAAGAATCCGAACACCCAGCGAATTGGAAGGATGGGAGGCGTGGAGAGGAGGGGGTTAAGGACAGGGAAGTCAGGGCTGGGAGCTCCTGTGCAAGATCTCGTGTGGGAGTTTTTTCCCCGTAGCTTGGGAAAAAAAAAAAAAAGGACTTGGCCAGGCGAGGAGAAAGCGAGGGGTGTGTGTGTGGCTCTGCTAAGTGCAGCTTGTGAAGTCTGCTGCGGATTAAGTGCTGCAGCACCCGGAGGCGCCCCTCCCAACGAGGAAGAAGAAGAGACCTGCCAGTTCCCCCTTCCTGGTGAGCATCCGTCAGCCATAGCTGTGTTGGCACCTTGCGTGGTGCCTGCTAGGTGACTGATCCACACTGGGTGCCCTTTCCTGCCTCTCTTCCTTGCCTCCCGTAATGCACTCGTGAAATTTTTTAAAAAAAATTTTTTTTTCTGAATTTTGGTACCTGCAGTTTTTCATCATTTTTGTGTAGGCCATCATTCCTAACTATGTCATCCTAAGCCGCTCCTGTCTCATAGCCCTTCAGTTAACACTTGATGAAGTTATAGATTTAAAAGGAAGAATATTTTGACCCCAGACAAGATGAGTGCCAAAAGAAAGAGCTGTTCCTTTGAGTACAAGAGAAGAATTGTGGAAGACTCCTGGAGCAAGAATCTTGTGGCTTTCTGCAAAGAGAGTAAGTTGGATCTCCAAATAGTCCAAAAATGGTGAGCAGAGTACAATAACCAAGGTCAACAGGTGGACAAGGGGAATGTTAAGAAGCACAAGTGTGGATCAGGTAGGCAGCCATTATTTTCTGAGCTGGAAGACATCTGTAAATGGATTGCTGGCAGGAGAGCAAAGGCTTTGGTTGTGCATAGGGCTGACATTCGAGCATTTGCCCTTGCAAGAGCACCACAGTTAGAAATGTCCCCAGGAGAATTCAAAGCATCACAACACTGGTTGGATAGCTTCCTTCAGTGATATGAACTGTCTCTAAGATCAACAACATTGTTCAAGCTGGAAGATACTGAACTTATATAAATGTGCGCTTATATTCAAGTCCTTTGTTGATGGCATTGACTTTTCTTAAATACCAACTCTCCAACATGATCGCTATAGATGAAACTGCAGCGTTTATGGGCCAAGGAGCTCAAATGACAATTGATCATAGGGATGTCTCGTCAATCTTCGTTCCCTCCACTGGTTATGAAAGTGCACGTGTTACCTGTGTTTTGGCAATTCGTCTGGATGGAAAGAAAGCCCCACCTCTAATAGTCACCAAAGGCAAGAAAGATAAGATTGAATGTGTTTCAGGCATTTATGTTCTTGAAACTGAAAAAGCCTGATGCACACAAGCAGTTATAAGGAAGTGGGTCGGTTTAATGCTGCCACTTGTTTTGCGAGGCGGCCAAAGAGGTCTCGTAGTCTGGGATTCAGCCAGCACTCCCTGTGCTAAAGACATGAAGAACTTTCTTGCACAGAGAAGAATAGATCAAATAACGATTCCGGCAGGCATGACTACCTCTCTCCAGACGCTTGATATTGCAATAAACAAGCCATTCAGTGACCATTTGCGCATGTAAATCAATGACTACATTGAAAATAGAATGGAGAGAAATCCGTGTGAAAACTTTGTGAAGCCCAGACTGCAGGAGGTGGTGATTTGGGTGAAGAATTCATGGGATAAAATCACTAACAGCTGTGTTGCCAACGCATTACGAGTAGGCTACATGGACAAGAAGTGCTCATTTAAAGAGAGCTTTATTGCTGGACATCAGAGATTAGGGCCAATGGTTCTACAGAAAATGGAGTCACAAAGAAATTCAGGCTGGAATTCGGGGTTTGGAGAGTTATGACAATCTTCCAGAAGAAGATGACATGATTGTTTTTGAATAAATGTGGATTGTTTCCCATGAAAAAATATTAAAACATCCCCTGAAAATAAGCCCTAGTGCATTTTTGGAGCAAAAATTAATATAAGACCCTGCCTTATTTTCGGGGAAACAGGGTACCTATGTTAATTGGTGGATTAAGGTGTGGAGAACCAAATCTCACCCCATTTAGTAAATTTTCCCTTCCTGGCTACTTGGAAATGATTCATACTTGCCACAAGGAATGAAAAAAGTAACTACTTATTATTTGTATTATAAGGCACATGACCTCTTACCCATTTTGAACAAAGCAAGTAAGCTTCAAACTGTGCATTTACTGCTAATATAAGGGTGTCCACAGCATCACTGTACAGCAGAAAACACATCCTATACAGTCCATTTGCTACAGTATGCTTCTAGCTCAGTTGGAGATAATTCTTATAATCAAGTTGAGCAAGTGTATAACTAATTTGCTTGTTAGCACTGAATTGGTATTTTCTGAGAGCAATAAATATATTCATGTTGTAACATCTGTTGTGCAGCTTGTGAGAAGAGGCATTCTGTTGCACTTTTGTTTTCTATAAAAATTTTCTTTGTGCTATAAAAAGAATTCTTTGGTTCATTGGACAATTTGTCTCCTTTGTAATGTATGTGTTTATTAGGATGAAATTATTTAGTCCCATAACAATTCACATTGACTGTAAGAACTTTAGAATAAGAGTTCGGTTGATCCATGATACCACTATATCCACTCTAATACTTTAGCTATAATTTAATTTTCCATTCAAATAATCTCTTCACATTCCCCATAGGTGTCATACTTCCTCCTCAAATTGTCTATTTAGGCTCCTATCCAAAAGGCCTTATAAATGCACATGGAGACTTCTTAGATCTCTTCCTTGCTGCAGATGTCCCCCATCCCCCAAAGTTATCTGTGAGAGTAAGGAGACACTTTGGAAAGCCATCCCAGAAGAGGCTGCTTTCTGGAGGAAATTCCTGTGCTGCATAGCGCTGAAGTCTGCCCTGTGCAGGCCCAAACCTTAGACCTCTTTCTGTTTGGTTTCCTAAAGCCAACCCATTTGTTGAATAAATCAGAGGATGACCTTGCCAAGCCCTGAGAGTCTTAGCATTCAGTAATGCTAGTGTTGCAACTTAAATGTAGGTAAAAGAAAGGGGAAGAGGAATGGGGGAAAGGGCAAGGGAAAGAACTGCAAAGAGGAAACAGGCCCATTATTTGAGAGAACCAGAAAGGCGCACAAACAAGGATGGCCAGGATATGAAACATGGTTGGTTGAGTCATTTTCCTTCTTGTGTAAGTACTGCAGGTAGATCATCACATGCATATATTTACCAGAGCGGTTACTAGGATGGGGTGACCATGGCTTTGATCCCAGGGCACAGAAATTTATAGAGTGAAAAATTTGCTGCGAGAAGAGGGTGGAGCCACCTATTGATATTTGGGGCTGGAAGGGAACAGAAGTACTTCCCTGTCCCAAATGTATATACCACCTTGACCTGTTCCCTGGGCAGAAGGAAACACAAAGCAGGCTCAGCATGGAATAAAGACAGCCACAGCAGGTTCATAGCCAGGCATTCTTCCCACACCAAAATCCCCTAGCTGCATATGCCAGTCTCGCATGCCCTGTGCACAACAAACACAACAGTGAATATTCAGGTGCCAAAACTGCTAGTTATGGGTCTGATAGTTGCATTCTGATAGAAAGTGAGCACATCATCTGAGGTGTGGGATTTCCACCTGTTTCCCGTGACAATCAGCTTCCCAGTCCATAGAAATGTACATTAAAATACACAAATATGCCAATGAGTTTCTCCTTTCTGGCATAAAGGAAGAGTACAGACAAGTAGCAAGGAACTGAAGGGATTACATTAGGAAGGCAAAAGCTGAAAATGAGCTGAGGTTATCTAGAGACACTAAAAGCAACAAAAAAACATTCTTTGAGTATGTGCATAGCAAAAGAAAGAAAAGAAACAATGACTCATCTACTCAATGGAAACAGAAAAATGATAACAGACGACAAAAAAAAGGCAGAAGTGCTCAATTCCTATTTTAACTAAGTCTTTTCCCAAAGGACAGACTGTGACCCGTCAGACAAATGTGAAATACAAGTGGAAAGGACAGGACTGCAGCTGGAGATTGATAAGCAAATAGTCAAGGAATACTCTGCTACCTTCAACAAGTTCAAATCTCCAGGGCCGGATGAACTGCATCCAAGAGTATTGAAGGAGCTAGCTGAAGAGCTCCCAGAACCACTGTCAATTATTTTCTGGAAATCATGGAAATGGGTGAGGTTCCGATTCTTGGAGGAGGGATAATATTGTCCCTATCTTCAAAAAGGGCAAAATGGAGGAACCCAGGAACTACACACCACTCAGACTGACAACCCCAGGGAAAATTCTGGAACAGACTATTAAGTGGTCACTATGCAAGCATTTAGAAAACAATGCAGTAATAACTAGAAGCCAGCAAGAGCAAATCCTGCCAGACTAATCTGATAGTATTTTTGATCGCGTAACCTCCCTGACAGAGAGAATGCTTTAGACATTCTACATTTTGATTTCAGCAAAGCTTTTGACAAAGTGCCCCCATGATATTCTGGTTAGCAAGTTAACTAGGTGTGGGCTGGATATAACAACTGTCAGGTGGATACACAGTTTGCTACAGAATTGTACTCAGAGGATAATGATTAATGGATCCTTCTCAAATTGGGAGGACGTAACAAGTGGGGTACCTCAGGGCTCAGTCCTGGGACCTGTGTTCTTCAACATTTTTATTAATGACATGGATCAGGGGGTGCAGGGAATGCTAATCAGATTTATGGATGACACAAAATTGGGTGGACTAGCCAATGCCCTGGAAGGGAAGACAGAAACAAAATTCAAAATGATCTGGATAGGCTTGAGCACTGGGATGAAAACAACAGAATGAAATTCAGCAGAGATAAGTGCAAAGTACTGCATCTAGGAAAAAGAAACCAAACACACAGTTACAAGATGGAGAATACCTGGCTCAGCAACACCATGAGCAAGAAGAACCTTGAATTGTCATAGATCTCAAGCTGAATATGAG